ATATATATATATATATATATATTACCTAATTTAATAATTTTAGAAAATTTTTATTAATTTAATTTATTTAATATTTTCAACTCATTCTGTATTTTTAATAACATTGCAACAAGAAATGATATTTAAATTTCAATCATATTTTACATGGAAAATATCTACATATTTTTTTTTTAAAAAAATCAATGAAATATTTGAACTAGTAATTTTTTCTTTATAACTACTTTTAACAAAATCAAAGACCCATTCATTAATTAGCATTTCTTTATAATATTTTGAGATTAGTTTGATTTGATAAAAATTTTATATTAAAAGGTTGATTATAGAAGGTGTAAGAAAAACTTGATTATAAAATTGTCTTAACATGTATAAAATTATTAACATACAAAAATTATCTCTTATGACAAGGTAATTTACACATAATTTTTAAAATGTCACTAAAAATGAAATGTCTTGATTTTGATAATTTTACCGGTATGGAATGTGCTAAGAAACAATGAAGTATAAGCATAGTTGCTTCTAAGTCATGAGAACTTAACGAGTTAAAACCCTTGAACTTGATTAGTTTTGTTTTACCCAATAATTTATCCCTAGCACAATAGATTTAGATATCAAGTTACATGAATGCCGAACTTCAGAGTTTGTCTGTCATTCGCTGTACCAAAGTAGATATGATTAACCTCTAAATTTCCTTCATCCAAATTGCTACTAGCCACTAGGCCGATTTGTACTGTTCTAATTACTTCACTTCTCACAAACTAATTAGTTAGGATTTTCAAAACCATGCAACCATTCAATTTCAACACCAAAAATCAAATGAACATATAATGGGAAAAAAAAAACATAATGAAAGCGTATTTTCGACATTGAACAACGACTCCATAAACATCTATTAACATCACAAAAATCACCATCATGAATATTTCCATTGAAACCTCTGTTGGAACGACGACAATATGCAAAATGATATAATACAAGTTCCAAGTAACCGTTCTTGAATCTCAGCCATCGGATTATTAATTAATATATCTGACGAAGAATTTTGATGGTAGGTACTTCCCCGTAGATTCCACGTTCAGAAAAGCATCAAACAAGAACCTTATAATTAGAAAAAGATAAGATACCTACCAAAACTATACTTTCTCTTACCAAGCACAGTTGACTTATATATCACTAAATCTCATCAGATCTGTTATTGCAACCAATTCCTTTGTGTTTCTACTCTGATCACTTGTTCTTGAGATCATGGCTTTAGCAGTGGTTGGTGGTGCCTTCCTCTCTGCTTTCATTAACGTTCTCTTTGACAAGCTAGCTTCCCCAGAAGTTGTCAACTTCATCCGCGGAAAGAATCCTGGCAAGTTGCTTCAAGCGGTTAACAACAAGCTGTTACTTGTTAGCCATGTGTTTGAGGATGCCGAGAAGAGACAGATCACAGACCCCAATGTCAAAAAGTGGCTCAATGTTCTCAAAGATCTTGTCTATGAGGTTGACGACTTACTCGATGAAGTTTCTACTAAAGCTGCAACTCAAAAGAAGGTAAACAAACACTTCTCTCCCTTTATCAATAGAAAGAAGATAGTTAGTACCAGTAAGTTGGAGGACATAGTTGAAAGACTAGATGATCTTTTAAAACAAAAGCTGAGTCTTGATTTGAAAGAGATTCCAGTGGAGATCGAGCAATGGAAAGCTCAGCCAACATCTCTCGAAGATGGATATGGTATATATGGTAGGGAGAAAGACAAGGAAGCCATAATCAAGTTGTTGTTAGAGGATAACGTTCATGATGAACACGTGTCTGTGATTCCTATTGTAGGCATGGGTGGAGTTGGGAAAACCACTTTAGCCCGATCTGTGTACAATGATGGTAATTTGAATAAGGAATTTGATTTACATGCATGGGTCTGTGTGTCTGACAAATTTGATATTGTTAAGGTCACAAAAACTTTGATAGAACAGGTTACCCATGAATCTTGTAGATTGAATGATCTAGATTCACTTCAGCTTGAGTTGATGGACAAGTTGAAAGATAAAAAATTCTTAATTGTCTTGGATGATGTTTGGATCAAGTCTAATGATAATTGGAGAAGTCTTAAAAAACCATTTCTAAGTGGGATCAAGGGAAGTAAAATTCTCATGACAACTCGCAACAAAAATGTTGTGGAAAAAACCTCTTTTCATATTGTTGGAGTTTATCCTCTGGACAAATTGTCAAATGAAAATTGTTGGTTAGTATTTGCGAACCATGCATTTCCTCCCTCCGAATCCAATGAGAATAGAAGTGCTCTAGAAAAAATTGGAAGGGAGATCGTTAAAAAGTGTGATGGATTGCCTTTAGCAGCACAGTCGCTTGGAGGTATGTTGAGAAGAAAGCATGCTATTAGGGATTGGAATAATATACTTCATAGTGACATTTGGAAACTTCCTGAAAATCATTGTGAAATTATTCCAGCATTGAGGATTAGTTATCATTATCTCCCTTCACATTTAAAACGGTGTTTTGTGTATTGTTCATTGTATCCTAAGGATTATATATTTAAGAAAAATGAATTAATCTTGTTGTGGATGGCTGAAGATCTTCTAAAAGCACCAGAAAATGGAAAGACGTTAGAAGAAGTTGGTTCCGAGTATTTTGATGATTTGGTTTCGACATCCTTTTTTCAACATTATAGTTCGTACAATACTTTTGTGATGCATGATCTTATGCATGATCTAACAATATCACTTGGTGGAGAATTCTACTCGAGATCAGAAGAACTAGGAAAGGAAACCAAGATCGATGTCAAGACTCGTCATCTATCCTTTACCAAATTTAGTGATCCAGTTACGGAACACTTTCAAGCATTTGGTAGCGTAAAATTTTTGAGAACTTTCTTGCCAGTTTATCTTGAAGATTCTCCCTTCAACAATGAAAAGGCAACATATATTATATCATCAAAGCTTCCATACTTGAGAGTTTTATCATTTCGTGGCTTTGATAGTTTGCATGTTTTGCCTAACTCAATAGGTGAATTGATCCATTTGCGTTATTTGAATCTTTCAGAGACAAGAATACAAACACTACCCGAATCAGTGTGTAATTTGTTCAATCTACAAACATTGAAGTTGAATTGTTGCTTCCAGCTCACTAAATTGCCTAGTGACATGCAAAATCTGGTAAACCTCCGCCATCTTGATATTCGAGGAACTCATATAGAAGAGATGCCTAGAGGAATAGGAAAATTAAACCATTTACAACAATTACATTTCTTTCCTGTGGGCAAGCATAAGGAGAATAGCATCAAAGAATTGGGAGGACTTTCGAATCTTCACGGCTGGCTTCTTATTAAGAATTTGGAGAATGTTACCAACTGTAATGAAGCATTGGGGGCTAAGATAGCAGATAAGAAGCAAATTGATAGTTTAAAATTGGAATGGTCTTCTAGTAACAATGGTGTTGACTTCCAAATTGAATTAGACGTGCTCTGCAAGTTACAACCTCATGAAGACCTGAAATGGCTATCAATAAGATGTTATAAAGGAAACAAATTTCCAGACTGGGTGGGAAATTTTTCCTACCACAAGTTGACATTTTTAATGTTAATTGATTGTGACAACTGTTGTATGCTTCCTTCACTTGGGGAATTACCATCTCTCGAGCATCTCGAGATTTCACGTATGAAGTCAGTGAAGACTATTGATGCAGGTTTTTACAAGAATAATGATTGTTCTCTTGCTACACCCTTTCCCTCCCTTAAATTTCTAGTGTTTTCTTCGATGTCTTGTTGGGAGGTATGGAGTTCATTTGAATCGAACTCTTTTCCTGTGCTTCAGGAGCTTACAATACGGTACTGCCCCAAACTAAGCGGAGATTTGCCAAAGCACCTTCCTGCGCTAAAAACACTTGATATTGATTATTGCGAGCTTTTAGTCTCTTCTCTCCCAAGGGCTCCCTCCCTTCATAAATTGAGGATAAATAAAAGCAATAAAGTAGCACTCAATGTGTTTCCTCTTTTGGTGGAATCTATAGAAATTGAAGGAAGCCCGATGGTGGAGTCTATGATCGAGGCCATCACTAACATCCAACCAACTTGCATCCAATCTTTAACATTAAAGAATTGTTCGTCACCCATATCTTTCCCGGATGGTTGTCTACCTGCATCGCTGAACACTCTAGAAATCTACGATTTAAAAAACCTGGAATTCCCAATGCAACACAAACACGACTTACTAGGATCTCTTACAATATCCAATAGTTGTGATTCACTAACGTCTCTTCCATTGGTTTCTTTTCCGAATCTAAAAAATTTCAATATCTTAAGCTGTGAAAGTATGGAATCTCTTCTGGTTTCAGGGTCAGACTCATTTAGTAGCCTGAGATCTTTTACGATTTGCAATTGCCCCAACTTTGTGTCATTCCCGAGAGAAGGACTGTCTGCACCCAATTTGACTTGGTTCAAGGTTTCTGATTGCAAAAAGTTGAATTCGTTACCTGATCATATGAGTACTCTTCTTCCAAAGTTAGAACGTATTGAAATTGACAACTGTCCAGAAATTGAGGCATTTCCTGCAAAGTTAGATCCACCTAGCTTGAGAACAGTTTGGATTAGCAACTGTGAGAAATTACTAAGCGGCCCAGCATGGCCATCCATGCACATGCTTACATATCTTTCTGTCTGGGGTCCATGTGATGGCATCAAGTCCTTCCCAAATGAGGGTTTGCTGCCTCCCTCCCTTACAACTTTGCGTCTATTTAAGTTCTCAAGTTTGGAGACGTTGGACTGCAAAGGACTTCTCCACCTCACATCCCTACAACAATTAGAAATTGACCACTGTCAAAAGCTGAAGAATATGGCGGGAGAAAGGCTGCCTGTCTCCCTAATAAAGTTAAGCATAATGAAATGTCCTTTGCTGCAAAAACAATGCTGCAAGAAGCACCCTCAAATTTGGTCTAAAATTTTCCATATTCGTGGCATTAAGGTTGACCATAGATGGATTTTGTGACCAATGATGACCACCAGGTAATTCTCATTCTCCTTCACCCACTTCATCATCATCACCATCCAAGTCTAACCAAGGATGACTATTTCTGTCAAGGATATGTTTCATATCATGTCTTTTTCCTTTGGAATTTAACTTGGTTATTGCATTCAACAAGAAAGCAAATTCTTTTGTATATACTTTATTTACAACAAGCATTCATGTCTTTTTAATCAAAACTTATTGTAGAAATGACTAGTGCTCTTTTTCTTATTCTTTGCAGTTAACATTTTTTAGTAGTATTATGGTGATTATTGGAGCCTGATCCTCTCCATCAAAATTTAACATGTGAAGGTAAATTTAATTCATCTCATATGTTCCTGACTTTTAACTTTTAAGCATAAGTTTATAGTATTTTCTATAAAATAAATTAAACAATTTTAATGGCTAAGGTGAAAGATTTCATAAAGTGAAAAGGTCACTACAGAGATTTGAACCCAGTGAATATGAAGTAAAGATTATTCTAGGATAGATCTCACTGTGGAATATAATAAATTAAACTTTTACAAATGTAATGAAGAAGTAGTCTTAAAATTTTAATGATATCTATTTTGGTAAATGTGCAATGGGGGACAATTTACTTTCTATCTTTGAATATGATATTTATTCCAAATTTCCAATCACTAAACTAATTCCCTTTGCTTTCTTAATTTTAATAGCAGACTCGTAGCATCTAAAAAAAATACTCCTAGTTCTTGACAAACAATATAAAACAATTTTCATGGTTTAGAAGAATGACTTTTTCTGTAGACAAGATTTGAATTCAAGTTTGTGATATTTGTTATTTTGTTATGCTGAAAAAGCATATGCAATTTCAATTTCTATTATAACAACTTAGACAAATCACAAAATACATACCCTTTATGCTTTCTTGTGTGCAACTACTAAAATGTATACTTCTGTTTAATACTTTCTTGTGTGCAGGTGTAAACAAAGAAGAATAACTATGAAAGTAATGTAATATTTCCCTTGAAAGGATAATGTAATATTCATAATACAAATCATAAAGTTCCCTTTGATTTTTTATTTGCACAAACTAAAACTGAAAAATAACTATGAAATTTAGATTATGTAAGCAAAGTTACTAAAACTTCTAGCTCACATATTGTTGATATTTCTTGTGTATAGTTACTGAATCGAACTGATTCAGGAACAGAAATTCATGTAGTATATATGTTACTGAATCTACAGAGAATAAGCATGTTTTCAAAGGCAACATGTGAGATCGTGTAAATTGAATTGAGCGAAAAATGCTACTTAAGCTCCTCTAGCTTCAAAGAAGAAATAACGATACAGTTATGGACTATTATGCAAACAACATCAATAAATACTTCAATATAATGATTCCCTAAAAAAATGTTACTCATCAATGTCATTGTATTTCAACTTTCTTAATGTATCAGCACTCATTGGTGTCTGTTTCTTCTTATTGCATTGTTTGTCAGTGTTGTAATTGGGTGTACATTGTTCGATGTACTATTATTAAGTTGATTGAGGTCAAAATCAAATTCATGTCTCTGGAAACTGGTTTTTGTTTTTTAGGTCCTGTAAATTGGTCGGGAGAAACTGCACCTGCCCATGGACATGTGAATTCAACCTTGAACAAGATCTAAATGGAACTTTTGATGTAATTGTCATTACATTGATGCTTTTTCAATTGCTGAAACTTTTATGGGAAGGCTCTTCATTGGGTACAATGCAGAGGATGATGCTTTCTCAGCTTAACTCTTAATACCGATCTCTCTATATTTGGATCACCAAAATGTTCACTGTTACAATTACATGCTAGAGATGCTTCATAGCATAAGCTTTAAAGCAAAATCCAATCAGTATTCAGGCCTAAGCATACAGGCCTTAGGCCATGACTTGACTGGTTGAGATAGGTAATAATAATAATTTCTTTCGAAATAATCTAAATTACGGTTCCTGTCTCGTATCTCTTGGATAATTGCCAAAATATAACTTCAACAGGGAATCAAAAGAAATAAGGAAGGAAAATTAAAGCAATGCTGTTTTCTTAATCTTAAATTTTATTGTTCTTCGCTACCTTGTATCAATTTTATAATTTATGTGAAACTTGAATGATTTAAAACACAATAAGAACCATCACAAGGAATAGAAAATAGAGGGTCATGTGTAGGAGATTGTAGTGTGTATAAAAAGGGAAGTCCCAATTTCAATCTCTACCTAGAAAGCATGGAGCTTATCACTGTTTATGCTGATTCCTGTAATTGTCGTTGTTCTTGCTCATTGTTTCTTGTTTTCCTTTAGATTAGGCTCAATGCTTTGTTTTTACTTACTCGTTATTTTTTTATTTTCCTATTGATTGGGCATTTTATCATATTTTCATAAGTTGCTCATGTCAATGCATGCAATTTTTTGCTTTTACCTGGGGCTTTGTTCAAATTGAGAGGAATGATCCCAACCTACCTATGGTTACAAATCATATTTAGCATGTCACCCAGGTAGCTCATACATAATTGGAAAATGTTACCATGCCTCTAACTATAGCTTGTTATAAATTGTCGGCTACTACTCATTGGAAGTTTTATTTATTTATTTATTCATTTTTGTGTTGTAGGAAACTAAAAATTTATTGTGTTGTGGGCATCCCTAACACTAGTGTTCAAAAGCAGAATGAACCGAAAGAAAAAGAATCACCAATTCACAAAGCTTTTGATGCTTATGATCAAAGTGAAGGTGGTGATTTCATCAAGTTCACTGTTCAATATATGGAGTGAGTTCTGGAAAGTCATTGTGAACAGAGACTTGATCCAGAGATGGTTGAAGAATTCATTTAGACTGTTTTGATGATGTATTAAGAAAAGTAAAAACCATTGGTCAAGAATTTCAAAACAAAGAACAAATTAAGTTTTCATGTTTTACTTTGTTGTTGTATTTCAAGGCACATAATCAGAGGTCAAGTATCCAAATTTCCTCCATACTAGTGTGGAGGTATGTATCTTTATCATTGTCTTCAATTTTATCATCTCATTCAAAAGTTTACAAGGAAGATTGATTCGAGATTTGTTGTCTATATAATATCCATTAAAGTGTATTGATTTCATTTATTAGGATGATTTTGTACTTGGAAGGTTGCTTAAGTTTTTTAAAAAATGCCTTTTCGATTTTAATTCTTTTGAAAAAATATTTTCATATTATAAATTTTAGTTCTTATTATAATTAAAAAAATTAGTTCTTATTTTTATAAAAAAACATTAGTAGTAATTATCTTCATCTACATCACTAATTAGTAATTTCACTTACAACTAGATATCAACCTGCATGATGTGCGGGTAAATAAATAAATTATTTAAATTAATGATTCTTAAAAGATATGTTTAAATATATTATTTTATTAATTGATTTAATAATTTTAGATGTGATTACTAATTTCTTTAAATTATGTAACGTAATCTTAGTAAATTTTACGGTTTTAATTTACACTTAATCTCTGGATTATGATTTTTTTTAGAGGTTTTATATGTTTTTTGGGACAAAATCTTACTTGGGCACATCTTTTATATTAATTTTTTAACACATGTTACATTGTTAAAATTTAATGTAAAATATGAGTTATTGAACAGAATAAGTCTGAATAAACTTACTCTTAGAATAAACGGATCTTTTCTCGTACGTACATATATATATATATATGTGTGTGTATATATATATTATTTGGACAAAAACAATCATTGACCAATTTTTACTTAACTCTCGACTTAGTCTAAGGTAAAGTTTTAAGACATTGACACACACATATGTATAACCAATAAGTTTGATACAAGTGATTAATGTACTCAACTATCTAAAGTTGAATCATTTAGACAATGTTTATATTCAATCATTGACTGTTCCGGTCAAAGGATAACGGTCGAAAAAACTCTAGTGATATGAGCTCTAAGAGAACCTAGCCGTCGTCCTAACCTAGAACATTTGATAAGTGTAACCTACCATTAGTAAAACCATTCTTCCTTTATATATATGGGTGTCATATTTAAGGATACGAATCTTTTTCTCCAATCTCAATCCCTTGAAATAAGCCTTCATTTTATTTCTCATAATGAGAATATAAATAAAATTTATAACAGTAATCAAATATGTGCGAGAATCATGGAAATTATTGCCTTAATCAGTCTTAGAAAATTCATGAGTGATCTTGAATTCGACTTGCTCGGTCGGATGGAGAGTTGGAAGATACGTGACCCTCCATGCTTAATTGTTAAAAGTGCAAAGAGTCTTTACTCGGTCAATTCGGTCAATTGGGGATTTGGAGGGTACATAGCCCTCCAGGCTCGAGCGTCAAGGGCGCGAAGAGTCTCAAGTTGGCCAGTTTAATCGGTTGGAGAGTCGGACGGTACAAAAACCAAGGAATTTTCTTGCTTGGACCCCAAAAGAACATTTTTCGGGGTTCAACTTGAGCTGATACTTGCCTATGGTGTCAAACAATTCCTGCAGATCGTCCAAATGCCGATCTACACTCGTTGATTTCACTACCATATCATCCACATAAGCTTCCACGTTTCTACCCAGCTGATTTACCAACACCTTGTCCATCAAACGTTGATACGTTGCGCCCACGTTCTTCAAACCAAAAGGCATGAACTTGTAACAATAATTGGCTTGATCTGCAATGAAAGCAGTTTTATCCTCATCGGCTAGGTGCATTCGAATCTGATTGTACCCCGAGTACGCATCCATGAAACTTAGCAATTCATAACCTGAGGCACCATCAACCAAGCAGTCTATATTTTCGGCGCTAAGGGTGTATGCTGGTGAAGTCGTTAAATCAGAATTTAGTCGACCTTAAAACGCGTTTTCGGCGCTAAGGGTGTATGCTGGTGAAGTCGTTAAATTGGAATTTAGTCGACCTTAAAACGCATTTTCGGCGCTAAGGGTGTATGCTGGTGAAGTCGTTAAATCAGAATTTAGTCGACCTTAAAACGGGTCTTCGGGGCTAAGAGTTGTTAATCGTTTATCATTCAGTTGATTCAAATTTTGAAACAATAGCAATTTATACATATAACATAATATAATATAAAAGAATTCACGGTGCAAATTGTTAAGTCTCAATTTTACCTCTTTTTGGATGAGACTTATTGAACAAATTCCACTCATCCTTTGAACCATTGCAATATAATTGTTCTCTTTTTGGTTCATTTTGTGTGCAGATATAACTAACCCAAATTTAGCTAACAATACCTTAATACACCTCATTTTTGTGCAGGTATTGAGCTAGAGAATTGAGGATTGAAGATTCTTAGGATTGGGAATCCAAGAGGCTAAGGAGCAGAGAAGAAATTGCGCCGGGCGCAAGATGACTCGCGCCGGGCTTGAGAAGAACAGAGTCTGGAAGCCATGGCGCCGGGCGAGAGAATACACGCGCCGGGCGTGGTCGAGACAGAGAGTGCTTGAAACTCTCTGGAAGACATCGCGCCGGGCGTAAAAGGAAATTGCGCCGGGCTTACACTGAGGCAGAAAGTGCTCAGAAGAGTACGCGCCGGGCGCGAAGACTTACACGTCGGGCGCGAAACCCTAATCTGATCTCCCTGGCTCGTATTTGAAGCCATTTTCGGGGGAGAAACCCCCATTCACACATTGGGCGCCTCCAGGAGCTGCGGAAGGGATTCCCAGGGCTTGGGATCGTCCGTGTGCGGATCTTTCCTTCGGTTCTTCACTTCCTCTTCCATCTCTATTTTGTATTTGCCCTCTTTGTTGAGTGGTTTCACCCATTTTGTGGGGTTAGATGTAGCCAACATACTCTATTGTAATCCTTACGTTTTCAATGATATATATATTTGTTGTTTCATTCATTGTTGTGTTTGTTTCTTTGCTTAATGCTTGCTTTGGATTGATCACCCTTTGCATGATTTAAGGTTCCATGGGTATTGGAAAATAACCTTTGAAACTAGTTCTGAAACATATGCCTAGTGGTGATTGTATCTAGGGATAGAGCTTGACCCATTAGTAGTCTTAAACCCTAGCCCGTAATGCGGGTGTAGATATTGGGTACTCAAGGGATTGATATTCAATATCCGCACCTAGGCTCTTTCTCTAAGGGATTAGGTTTGAGTAAACTCTTGGGTTGACTAAGCAATGAATTCAACAAGAGATTAAGGATACATTAGTGTTTCGTTCGGTGAAATCTGACCCCCACAACCTCACAATACCATTATCACATTTCTACCCTTTCCCATTCTAAAACTAATCTTTTTATAGTTTTAACATTCCAATAGTCATGCTCTTCAACTCACATTTACATGACAAACTATAAATTGGAATTATTCTTTAGTCACGAATAATCAATAAATGCTTATTTTACCTTCTAATCCCTGTGGATACGATATTTTTACTACTTGAACGGCCGGTATACTTGCCGTGTTTGAGACCGTTAATAGAATGTAACTGATTTATAGATTAAAACAAAAGTGTTTAAACGGAAATCTCAACACAAATTGAAGAAAAAAAAAAGAGAAAGGGAAGAAGTAATTGAGAACATGACACAAGAGGGGGAGAGAGGAGAATCGGGATAAAAATAAATCAAAAGGAATAAACTCCCGAAACCATCCCTACCCCTAAACAAAAAGCAAATAAATTTTATTAACAATTTTTGGACCCATCATGCTGGCAGACCTAACATGGCAGAGGTCCATTAACAACAAAACAACTACCTTATACGTATGTACATGACTCACCTTTCTCACAACCCATCACAATTCTCAAGTAACTACATATAATATAATCTCTTAAAAGACTTTACCAACCATCATTACAAAATGAATCTTGCGTTAATTACTATGTTTCAAGACGACACCATGAACATTGACTAGAAAAAAGCCATGATCATCACCGACATCATCCAAACTTTGCAAAATTCTTGATCGATTTAAACAATTATTTGTTTGATTCAAAAACAACAAAACCTGCAATTAAGCATCCCTAATAAACAGATCAAGGTTCAATCCATGATACAAGAACTGAAACATTGATTTTAATTGAACATTTTTACGTGAAAACGATTAAAAGGAATGAGAATTGGATACTTAGCTGTTTTTATTTCAAGTTTGATAACCACATAAACCTCTTAGGTGCCTGACGTCTAATGGCAGAATTGGCTTTTAACCACGTGGTTGTGGGTTGAAGTTGTAATGGCCGTGGGAAGAGTTCTCCCGAGGCCCTACGGTGGGCGCCAAAATGTTCCGGTCAAAGGATAACGGTCGAAAAATCAACCTAGCCGTAGTCCTAACCTAGAACATTTGATAAGTGTAACCTACCATTAGTAAAACCATTCTTCCTTTATATATATGGGTGTCATATTTAAGGATACGAATCTTTTTCTCCAATCTCAATCCCTTGAAATAAGCCTTCATTTTATTTCTCATAATGAGCCTATAAATCACATTTATAACCGTAATCAAATATGTGCGAGAATCATGGAAATTATTGCCTTAATCAGTCTTAGAAAATCCATGAGTGATCTTGAATTCGACTTGCTCGGTCGGATGGGGAGTTGGAAGATACGTGACCCTCCATGCTTAATTGTTAAAAGTGCAAAGAGTCTTTACTCGGTCAATTCGATCAATTGGGGATTTGGAGGGTACATTGACAAAAATAATCTTTTATCAAATTTTATTTATCTTCCAATTGAGTTAAATTAGTTTAGAAATACTTGTGCAAAATATATATATATATATATATATATATATATATATATATATATATATTATAACTTGCACCGAGTGACTAATGCTAGGATAACCTTCCCTTTAAGATGAGGTGGATTAACTTAGTGTGGATTTCAGTTGAAAAAGTTACGTTTAGTTGAAAGAGAATTAAAAAATGGAAACTTCTCCTTCAACGAAAAAGTAACATGGGTGTTGCTTTGGATGTAACGTACGTTCTGAACATAATAAGTTTAACGTAACGTAAAAAAAAAATTACCAAATAAATGGATACAACATTCAATACAAACTAAACGTCCGTTTGGGTGCCTAAATGGCAAACCAAACATACCCTTAAACTGCTTTCCAAAAATAAAAAAATATTTTTCAAAAACTT